CTGGGCATAATAGCTTGGCCAAAATCAGTAATGCATTACGAGCGCATTGTCGACCCTCAGGATGAGTCTATGAAACATTCAAATGTATCTTTATATTGGCTTAAAATATTATATATTTTTAAATTGAAATACGCATATTTTTCTTTCTTTAACATCTTCATATTCCAATCAATTAGATAGCTTTAGTTAGAGAGTGTAGCCTAGTCTGCCACTAAACTGCAAAGTTTCTCTTGTGTTTGGCTTAGCTCGTGCGCTCATTATTCATTAATGATGCGAATCTAAAGAGTCGGCAACACATACACCTAGTGCCGAATGACAAGCCAACAAAATTGGCTCATTTATATCCTGCTATCACTTCACCTGACACTGACACGCCGACGCCAACGCCGACGCCGAGGCAATGACTGTTAGTATTTGCCAGCAAGGTACTGGCACAATTGTGCACCAGCCAACCAGCCAACCTAGGAACCAGCCAGCCAGTTGGAAATGGTCAATTCAATCATGGCAGCTAACCAACACATAAAGGTGCCCGCCAACTCCGGCCAACTCTGGCCAACTCTGGCCTCTGGTGACAGAGTCTCGCATACAGGCGAGATCATAAATATTTATGAATCTATGTATATGGAGCTGTAGTTGGATGATGTTTTGCCACCCTCAGTGCAACAACATATGCATTTTAATTCATTTTTCATACCTAGGCGAATCCAAATAAAAACGTTATGATGCTGTTTATTTAGAATTGCACGAAAAGTGAATGAGCAAAGCGTATGGTGAAAGGGACGAGAATTCTGGCAGTAAAAGGAGCAGCAGTCGGATTTGCCAGACTCATTCACACACACACACTCACACACACACTCACACACACACACACACACACACACACACACACACACACACACACACACACACACACACATACACACATACACACATACACACATAAACACGCTTACGCTTCCAGCTAATTTAATTTAAAACGCAAACCCAAAAATACGTGGCACCTCAATCAGCGGCAGCCCCCCTCTTTGGCCTTTGTTCGCTGTGGCTGCCATTGCCTCTAATTGTGTGTGTGACTGTGTGTGTGTGTGTCGGTATGTGTGTGTGTGTTGGCTAGCCAAACGCAATTGTGTGCGTGTGTGGCCAAAACTATGATGCTGTGACTGCCTTTGCTACAGCGTTCCCCGGCCCTAGCCAGAGGCAGCCCACACCCCGCTGATCCGCCTGGTCAGTTAATGCAGTTGCGGGCTGTGCTGCATTTTACTGCTGATGGCAAAACAGTTGTTGATGTTGAACCAACAACCAAACAGCAGCAACAGCAACAACAGCAGCAACAGCAGCAACAGCAACAGCAGCTTCAACAGGAGCAACAGCTAAAAACGGCAACAAGAGCAACAACAGCAACAACAGCAGCAACGTCTAACAACAACAAGAACAGCAGCAACAACAGCAGCAACAACAGCAGCAACAGCAACAACAGCAACAACAGCAACAACAGCAGCAACAACAGCAACAACAGCAGCAACATCTAACAACAACAAGAACAGCAGCAACAACAGCAGCAAAGTTTTGTTTTTATTACGTTCTTCTGCTTTTTGCGTTTGCCGCTGATTGTTGTGCTGTAAATTGCATTTGCGGTCAACAAAGTGCAACAAAAGCAGCAGCAACAACAACAACAACAACAACAACAACAACAACAACAACAAGAACACGTACAACAACCAACATTGTCGGCCGGGCCTTCATTTTGTGTTGTTTGTTTGTAATTTTTCGTTGATTTCTGTTTCTATTTCTCGTTTTCATTTTCATTTTGCTGTTTGTTTCATTTAAATTGCCATTAGGTGCGGCTTTGTGCTAACTCCCACCCTTCCCCGCCCTCTGTGTGTGTGTGTGTGTGTGCACAGCATTTGAGCTACATTTTCACACACACACGCACACCCACCCACGCCAGCTGGTTTCACATTTTCGCTTCTTTATGTGCGGCTTAGACATTTTTGTGCTCAATAATTTTTAGCTTTTTTCCAACTTTTCCATCATGAACTAAATATTCAACACTTTTCTTTCCATCTTCTGGTCTATCTAATGCTCTCTAGCTTCTCACTTTGGTTACTCTTTTTTTTTTTTTTTTTGTTTTTGTTTTTTTTGGTACAATAGTCCTGGCTGGGTTTTTAATTAAAGCAACAATGTGTTGCCCCACTCAGAGAATCCCTTTTACCTATCCACGAATCGACTCACAGCCAAAGCCACACACATACTCAACTACATATACTATTATTGCCAGCCAGAATATCGTTGTTGTTGTTGTTGTTGTTGCAGTGTTTTACTTTTTACAATTTCATTTCACTCGTTTTGTACGTTTTCGCTCTTGCCCAATGCCCCTGCGCCGGACTCGCCGCCTTATGCCTGGCCGTTTTTTGTGTGAAAAGTGATAAGTGAAATATGCTTTTCAGTTTTCAATTTAGCCGCTCAATGCAATTCCAATTGAATATTGGCAATGGGCAAATAGTTGCCTGCCGCAGTCGTTTGTAAAGTTGGTAAAAAAGGGGAAACATGCTGAAAATGTCGACAGTCGGCAGTCGTCTCTTAATAATGGTCTTATGTGGCTAGAAATAAAAATAATAAAATCGTATCAAAAGCCTTTGTATGATTTGTATGCACAGAAATTCAGGCAGCAGCATGCGCACCTGGCACAGTCTATCATTACAGTATTCGCACGGGAAAATAGACTGAATTTGCATATGTGGGCCACGGTATCGGTCCAGTTCGCTGAACTCGCCGGCTCTGCGCCCCCCCTCCCTCCAGGGAGCCAATTTAGAATGAGGCTCACGTCTCGACGCGGACACCTCACCCAGCACTTGACACTCTTTGTGCAGCGACCCGCCCAGCTGCCAGTCCGATATTTTTAATGCCTTTGACTTTGCAACACTGCCAACACGAATGGGGTGGCAAGTGGGCGTGGCGCAAACATTTGCCAAGTCAACACCGAAGGCGAATCGCAACTTAATCGCCGACTTGCACCGTGTCCTCAACTCGATCTGATCGATAATTCTATAGAATGTTTAAGTGGTGAACATAAGACTTACTAAAGGGGTATAAGGGTTAGGCTATAAAGCGAAAAGTTTTTATTCTGTTGACTTGTCTTATAAACCCTGTTGCGGGCTGCTCGTGGGCTGGGATGGGAGCGAAGGAGCTCCTAAGAGCTCCTAGGTCTCTCTCGATGTCCCTAGTACGCAGGTGGGACAGAACATGTCCGCCCAAGAGAGGTGTTCGCCTAATAGGAGTACTCATCAACAGAGTTTTTACTGTACTTAACTCAAGCAAATACTTAACTCTTTCTGAATTTTGAGAGCTAACTCCATGGCTTCGGCCAACTGTGCGCTTTATTCAACGATGAAGTGGAGTTGCAGAGAGCCCAAAGGACAGCCCAGTGAGAAGGGCAGCAACAGGCACAGAAGTGCACTCCCGCACACACACACACACACACACACACACACACACGCAAACACACTCATAGGAATCATAGAAAATAGAGTGTGCAATTTGGTGCGAGAATAATGCTGGGCAGAGCAGAGTTCATGAGGCGGGTCATGTCTAAGGTCGCGCTTGGTTTCTTGTCGTACATTAACTGGGACACGGCTCATTTGTGTTAATTTGAAAATGTTGACACCGCCAACGAGTTGATATCGTGTTAGCTGACCGAGTGTCGACTCAGTAGACTTTCGACAAATGTCACGATTGGAACGAAACAAGCTAAAATTATTCACACACATATTAACTATTGCACTGTGAACGTGTATTTATCCTACTACTAGTCCTTTTCCCAAATTCTCCGTAGCAATTAAAAAGACATATAATGACATTTAAGAAACTACTCTTCGTATGCATGGGTGAGTATTTACTTAAAGCTGTAGAAATAGTTGGCCCCCAAGTTCCATCGTCCACCTCCTTCGCAGGCAACTCGTGCAGCTCGCCAATGGCAGAGACGATCATGCAGAATCTAATGGTGAAGACCAGTCTTTACTGGGAGGTGGATAGTGCTGCATTACGTACCTGGAACATTGGCAGACGGCCGCACAAGCGATGCCTACGCGTTCTGCGGGAGCACGGACTGCGCTCGGATCACTTTTGCCGACTGGTAAATGTAATTACAAAAAAACGATTTTATTTTATATAACATACCTTATTTGGCAGCTAACTGTTCAGGACTTTTACTACTTTGACTACATCATAACTATGAACGAGCATATATACAAGGAGTTGCTGCTCTGGGCGGATGCCAATCATATTTCCAATACCTCGAATGTGCTGATGTTGGGCTCGTACGGCAAGAATGGCAAAACTGTATCGGTTATTGACCTATCACCGGTATGTTGACCAGGATTAACTAGGATTAACTATCTCTAATCGGCTAACATCTCGCTTAGGCACGCAAACTTAAAGCCTTCAGGAATGCATACTACCAAATCAAAGAGTGCTGCAAGCAGCTTATACTTGGCGAACAGGTGAGCATTGTGCGCTATGATTTGCCCAGCACAGATGACGAGAACGAGCAGGATTATAAGACTATGAATCAGCATAGGGACTCCAGTGAGAGTCCCGATTCTATGAATGCCGATGGCCAGCAATATCCCTCAAAGTCCTCTTTAATCAAACCATGCTCGGTGTGCTCAATCAATGCGCCCATGTCGAATAAAAAGAAACTTTGCCAGAAATGTGGCCAGAAGTTCTTAGCCAAGCTCTGAGCACACATACACACAGACACACACAGAAGATGACAAACTGTTAAGCAAACCCCCCAAAAGACTTGTGCACAAATTTTAAAGCTATAGCTCAAGCGTTGATTATTAAATAAAATCACAGATGACTTTGATATGACAGCTGCTCGTCGTACCTGTGCCCATTCCATCGATCTGCGCCTAATTGGCTCAAATGCTCGCCTATAAAAGCCACTGTAGCATGGCGGCCCCAGCTCTGTTAGACGGGAACCCCTTGATGTGCGCCATCGATTCACGGACGGGTAGCTGAGCATGGAGAAGACGTTCGCCGTTGCCATGTCGGGCTCTGGACTTGGACCAAGATTTGAGGCACAGGCGGCCCAAAATGGCTCCGTGCTGGACAACGTGAGTTTGTGCTATATGTGTGTGTGCTCTGGAGTGCTTTGCAAAAACTAGACAGTATAAAATATATTTTATATATTTTTTAGCATTGCAGAATATAAATATTTATACTGTAGGATTTACATCAATTTCGGTTATAATTCAGATGTACATTAAATTATTACCATTATTGACTTCAAATTGAATTTATTAATTTGCACGAGGCATAAATCTCTAGAATGTGGCAAAATAAGTGATCCTTGGTCTACTTTATCGACAATTTAATCATTTCACCCTGCACACACAAAATGGACAAAAAGCCTTATCGTTTTGTTCAAATGTATATAACAGTCAGATATAAATAATCAAATATTAAAAAATAATAAAAAATATATATATCAGCATCAGAAGCCCAATCTATCTAGCCATATCTGTCTGTCCGTTTCTCTGAGCTAAAAATTTCGAACGTTGGATCTGCTAGTCCACAATAAGATCGAGTTTACTTCAAAACATCGTCATCGTATAATATCAAGAAGATATACACAAATGCAAAATTGTTGGTTTTCTGGTTTCCTTCCTCTGTACCACGCCCGAAATATGAGAAAAGATTTGCAGGTACAGTCTTCGACTGAAAAGGAAACTAGGCTGTTTTTCTTAGACAGCTTCGCAGAGCATCTCCTAATTGGGCACTCCTGATTGACTGAAGCCCTTTTAAATTATTTAAAATTGATATTTTATAGTAAAATGTAAATAAAATACAGAAAAATATGATTGAAAGCTTGGCTTATGAAAATTTATTAACCCATCGACAATATGTGAAAAAATTATATGTTTCAGCCCAATGTTATTGAGATGCGGACGCTGGACTTACTTTGGACCCTGTATAATAAAAAGACCGCATATTAAAATACACTAAAAACTTGTTTCAGAGTCGCCAGAATAACTCTTCCATTTCATTCCTGCGTTTGCATTTAGCCCGCAGTTCCACTTGTGGATTAGGCTAAAAAAAAGCTGGCCCTTTTCTATATGTTATATTTTATCTAATTCAAATTGCAGGTGCTGCCGGACATGGCGCACCTCGTGAATCCGTATTGGAGCCGTTTTGCGCCAATGGATCCGACAATGAGCAAAATTCTCGGTCTGTTCACGCTTGTCATCCTGATCATCTCCTGCTGTGGCAACGGAGTTGTTGTCTACATCTTTGGCGGCACCAAGTCGTTGCGCACGCCCGCGAATCTGCTCGTCTTGAATCTGGCCTTCTCCGACTTTTGCATGATGGCCTCCCAGTCGCCGGTAATGCTCGTCAACTTCTACTATGAGACGTGGATCCTGGGGCCCCTGTGGTGCGACATATACGCGGTCTGCGGCTCGATGTTTGGCTGCGTTTCCATTTGGTCGATGTGCATGATCGCCTTCGATCGTTACAATGTCATTGTCAAGGGCATCAACGGAACGCCCATGACAATCAAGCTGGCCATCATGAAGATTCTTTTCATTTGGCTAATGGCCACGTTTTGGACCATAATGCCCCTGATCGGCTGGAGCAGCTATGTGCCCGAGGGCAATTTGACCGCCTGCAGCATTGACTACATGACCCGGCAGTGGAATCCGCGCTCCTATCTAATTGTCTACTCGATATTCGTTTACTATGTGCCACTATTTCTAATATGCTATTCCTACTGGTTTATAATTGCTGTTAGTAAGAAAATCATGTGTCTCTCCCTTCTTGTCTAATACCCTACCTTGCAGGCCGTCGCTGCGCACGAGAAGGGCATGCGGGAACAGGCCAAGAAGATGAACGTCAAGTCCTTGCGCAGCTCCGAGGACTGCGACAAGAGCGCCGAGGGCAAACTAGCCAAGGTAATAAAATCAATACAGTAGAAGCTGCCCTTGCGGACAGCTCCCATAACCGGACAAACTTCGTTGACGCGAGCTTTTTGTAATATTTTCCATACACAATGCATTCCTATAACAGGACGCACTGATTGTATTTAAAAAAATGCTGAAAACATCTCTGATAAGCGGACAGACGCTCAAGCCAGCATATAAAGCTTCCCATCAGCTCCTATTCATATTTGTGTAGATGCCAATGAAATTGATAGTTAAACTTTTGACACAAATTTTGAGGAAGGATTTTGTTGCTTACCTGCGTGCCAGAACAAGAAACTGCATTTGAATTATTAAGAAGAGAATTTAAATTATTTGAAATTAATATACTTGTAACACTCCCATAAGCGGTCAGCTCCCATAACCGGATACAAGTACCTCGATTGTCTGTGTCTGGCTATGAGAACTTTCCCTGTAATCAGTTTAAATATTTATATTTGCTTGCTCAGGTGGCATTGACTACCATTTCACTGTGGTTTATGGCCTGGTCGCCGTATCTGGTCATCTGTTACTTTGGCCTGTTCAAGATCGAGGGCTTGACGCCACTGACCACCATTTGGGGCGCCACATTCGCCAAGACCAGCGCCGTCTACAATCCCATTGTCTATGGCATTAGGTAAGTTCAGGCAAAAGTATTAACTGAACTTTAAATATTTCAATTTTTTATTTGCATAAGCCATCCCAAGTACCGACTGGTGCTTAAGGAAAAGGTATCTGTCCTTGATTAGTTTTAAATTTGAGCACTTTGGCTACATAGAATTATGGAATTTATTTACAGTGCCCCATCTGCGTCCTTGGCAACACGGATGAGCCCAAGCCAGATGCACCCGCTGGGGACACAGAAACCACTTCAGAGGCAGAATCAAAGGCCTAGGAAGCTAACAAATTATTCCTTAGCAATTGCCTTAAAAAGGCGCAAAAATGTAAAAAAAAAAGGATAAAAGCAACTATCAAATCATGATACAAAAATATAAGAAAATAGTGAACCTTTCTCTAATTAAAGAACATATTCCATTAACGCACTAATTAATAATTTATAAGCACAGCGGATTGGCGAAATTTACTTTGCACATATGTGTATTTATTTACAGAATTGCGACGTCTTAAATTATGAGAGCTTATCAAGGCTAAGGCGCCCACTTAAATTAAGGGCTGACTCTTGAGTCTTGAGTCTTGGGCCCACGCCCGCTGCCAGTTCCACGCCTTCAATTCCCGCTTGTTTCATCTGCCTTGGCACACATTTCGACGATGTGGATGTCGCTATTTGCTTTGGCTGCCTCGTCTGGCGTTTAATGATGATAATTACTCAGTTACATTTGGCACACGGTCCGCCCCCCACGTCCTCCAGCCAACGCATCCCGCACTTTTGGTCTAATGAGCACGCACACACCAACACACCCACACCAACACACCCACACATCCACACACAGTCGACTGTCTAATTAGAATACAACAAAGCAGCGAGCAGAGCTAAAATTTTAGCCCGTCAGCAATTTGGGCAAAAGTTCATCAGTTCCAGCCGCCGAGTGCTGATTCTGACAATGCCACTCGACTCGATGGCTCTCATCTTTTGGTTACACATCATCTCAAGCTCGAACAGTTGCCAAACTGCGCCAACTGCAGAAATGCCTGCACCCAAGACCCAGTAAAGAGAAATGCTGCAACGTGGCCAATCGCTCGATTGGGCATTTATTTATAGCCTCCGGCACATGACTTCAGTTAGATGTTGCGCCACATCCTTACCAGAACAGAGTTGGACGTGATGCGCCTGATTTGGCCCAGTGCTGGCCCGCCAGTTCGCCAATCGAGGCCAGGGCCAAGCCCTGAAACGTGCCGACACACGTATTGTACTCTGAGACCAACTGGTTTTTCCTTAGCTGCGCCTCGCAAGTCTTTAGGCTCTGCTGAAAGCTGGCCAAGATCTCTGAACCCTCCTGATGAGCCTCTGCACTAGGCGGCAGCTTCTCGTCGAGTGCCTTGCGCAGCGTGTCCATGGCTATTGCGCCGCGCTGCAGCGTCTCCTCGATGGGCACCTCCACCTGCTGGGCGTATGCCTGCACCTGGCGTGGCAAAGGGAATCCTTTACATTGTTGTGGAACACTTCGAATGCAATGCTTACCAGGCAGACCAAAACCGAGATCACAAGCAGCGTGGCAGTCGACATATTCTGTGTGCGTTCACTTGGCAACTGGAAAGCAACTCTCAAAGTCGCAGATGGCATCGGTTATATATAGATAAAGACAACGTGTGCTAAGGCCGTTGTCAACAGCTTTAACCCAATTAAGTTTTTATGGTCGTGTAAGAATTTACACCCAGATATAATTGCTTATCAGCGGGCAGCGGAAATAATACAACAAGTAGCTAATCGCGCATGCATATAACTAACAGGTAAATATAACAGCTCTATTATCAGGTGAGAAAAGCACACACAAATGTGCCCAAGCGGATGTGAGTCACAGTTGCATTGGTCAGTCGCCAGGCAACTTACATTTAATGGCCAACTTCGTTTTGACCAGAATGACAACGAGCAACCAGGCGCGCTTCGTCCTGGCTAGGCCGCAAAAAAAACTGTTGCCTGCTTTTTGGGGCGCAAATTTTGCAGGCCCGAAAACAAATTTACATACATGCGCCTATGGACTCGCTCGCTGTCATGTTTCTCTTTCATTTTACTTTATTTTTTTGTTTTTTTGTTTTGCAAACCAATTTTAGCATATATTTGGCCTGCTTTTATTTGGTACGCTTCTTTTAAGCGCCCGACATGCGTCAACTTTTGCATTAGCAGCAGGGCGGGGCGGCCCGGGAAATGGGCGGTGCATGGGCGTGGTTGGCGGTACAACAGAACTTAGCAAAGTTCATGCCACACACACACACACACACACACACACACACTGACATATTTGTGTTGTAATGACACAAACAACAGAACGCAAGTTTCAATCTTGGGGCAAATATTTCAATTAAGTGACAAAACTTTGCACTCGCCTTGATCCTTGTAATTCGCCTTGTCATCCTAAATATATAAATGTGTGTGTGTGTGTATGTGACATGGCCAGCGGCTGTTTCAAAATTTACATTTAATTACATATTTGAATTTGAATTTGAATGTGCTTTGCCGCATTTGGAACGTCAACGAGGCGTATGCGTCATTTGGCTCAATCTGCCATGGACCAAAGCTTTTGGCCATTTGCGGCAAATCTTTGGCTCGTTAAGCCAAACCATTTAATCTCCTTAATGCTCAAAATTCATGTGCACAGGCACAATGGGCAGCTAGGTACTGCAAGGACAGGACATGAATAGGGACAATGATAATTGAAACTGCATTGGCCACATAAATCAACAATTGCCGCCCAAAATCATGCACCGGAAACATTTTAGGGCAGGACATGATGGCCAAGGCAAAATTGATGAATCCATAAAAGAGCTGGCATTGAAAAGCGGCAAAAGGCTGGGACAGAGAGAAAATGCCGCAAAGACGAACAAATAATGTGAAGGAATTCAAATATTTGGCCAAAATGCGTCAAGTCCTTTCGAGGACAGCTCCACAACATTAACACCCCCAATTGGGGATGCGACGGCAGCAAAAGTATTTGGAAGCTTTGGTAAATTTCGTAATAGCTGGAAATTTAATAAAGTCCAGCTATGCAAAACAGTTGAGCAACTCGGCAACTGGCCACATCAAAGCATGCTCTGCCCTGGCAGATCAAGGACACAGCTCCAGCCCAGCCCAATGATGTGCACTTGTAGCTTAGTTTGCTTTGAAAATCTTTATTTAAGTATATCGAATCTATGCTGGTGTATTGCACTTAGTTTCTTTTTTAATGGAATATCCCATCACAAGGCGACTTAGGCCTGAGCACCGCCTGCTGCTGGTGCTGCTGCCGTGGTGGTGGCGGCCGCTTGACGTGCCTGCCACTCGTCATCGATGAGCTTGAGCTCGTTCTTGGCGCTGGTCAGGGCGGGCTTGACGCAGCGGATTTGCAGCCAGGGCAGCGTGGCGTTGGTGCAGTTGGCGAAACCCAGCGCAGCATCGGCTAGCACGTTCTCGACACGCTCGGCCAGGTCAGCGGGGAAGTCGGGCTGATTGAGCAGACGATCTGCCTCCTTTTGCAGCACTATGGACTGGAAGAAGGCGGAGACGGAGAAGCCGCCAAAAGGCGCTGCCGGAGCAGCGGGTGCGGCGGGAGCGGCAGCTCCAGCAGCTCCTCCACCGAATACTCCATTCAGATACGGATTATAGGCTGCAGCAAAGGGATTGGCTGCCGCAAAAGGACTAATGGCCTGCAAAAAATGTCTCTGTTAGATTAAGGCCAAACAGGTGTGACGAGTACTTACCACCTGTGCGTTGATGCAGGCAATGCTGGCGACGAGTAAGACAATTGCGAATTTCATTCTAAAGCGATTCGATTTCGTTTTCTTCTGAGTGCGGATCTCAGTCGTTGTAGTTTCGGAGAGACTAATATCTGGTCAGGCATTGGAATGGGCTTATATACACATAAGTATGCACAATTTGCGTTTGTTATCAGCGCGCCGTCTCGCTCTGGAAATTGAACTGATTTACATGCTCTAATGTTTGTTTATCAAATGTTGTAGACTAATCCCCTCTAGGGGTTATTTATAAAGATAAAACCGAGCAGTTCGCCAAAAACTGCCGACTCACCAAAAGACGTCAGGTATATATTGTTCAAAATTACATCAATAATTTCCCTCCTCTATTTTATTAAATACATTCTTATTATTATACTTATTTACTTTAAGATATTATACTAGTATTGGTATTGTGAATTATTTAAAGAAGTTAAAAATGCGCTACCTTGGAAATGAGTTTATTTTACACCTTAGCAAGTGATTCATAATTTTACTATACCCAAATGTCAACAAGATATAAAGAACACATTGTTTTGCAGCAAAAATTAATTAAGAATTGCGCAAACATTGCGAAATTCAGCAAACTCAATATGTAAACATATCTAATAGATATACATGTAAGAACAAATCTATTTACCGACAGTAGAGTTAATTATTTGTTTTTGAGCTACAAATACAAATAATTAATGAAATACATATAAAACGTCTACAAACATTTTAAAGATACCAAAAATATGCTTAATGGTTTTTATCTTATTTTTGATAAAATTGTTTTTTTTTTTTTTGGTGTTTGATGTTGATATATCTACAATCTCATTGAATCATATGTGCATACAAACTGATAAACAACACAAACAAATTATAAACATTACTGCTCTGTTAACTTAACATTAATCCCACCGTTACTTTTTTTTACTTTTCAGAAATTTAAATTTTTACAGCTGAATTAATAATTATTGTCTGGCAACCTCCAAAACTTTCAGTTGAACATATCTTAAGGGTATTTATATGCCATATATGAATATAATCATTTTCTAAGTTTAAACTTGCCTTTCAAACGAAACGGTTCCAGCAAAAGCCCTACACGACTTTTGGAAAAACTTTTGTCCTTTTGCGATGCCTTTTAGACATGTGGCGCCCACAAGGTGGCGCTATCGCCAACTTACAGAACGACAGCTGTAAGCTAAAAGCGGCAAGCGTGATTAACAGAATATTTGAATATTCTGTTTAAGGCGCGCAGCTTATGATGTGGCGCAAACGGAAAATGTAAATGCACTTTTAAAAATTCATTACTGAATTATCGAGGCAAGTCGCTTGCTTCAATCCCTAAGTTACACCATAATGGGTAAAAGAAAATCTAATTAAGCTTCATTGTACATATATTTGTGTTGTTTATGTTTTTTGCCTCCCTACAGTTTCAAATGAAATGTCGGTTGACAATGGCCTATTTATTGCATGTCTGTTAAACTAGAATGGTACTGTTAGTTAACATGGTATCATTCTGTAAACGCATAATGAGCAGCTCGTGCAAGGCATCGGTATCGATGTTTTTTGCATCACTAAAATTTTTGTACACAGCAAAAAATCGATTTAGTACGAAGAGGAAAAACGACCCCCGCGTCCAACACACCAGCGACAAGGCAGTGGGAGATTAGTAGTAGTAACGACAGTCCTTCAAACATTACGCAGCCAATCGTCGGACAAAACTCCAAGGTTTGGCCAGCAGAGAAATAAAACAAAAAAAAACAGAAGAAGTGTCATCGCTGCAAGTGAAGATATACCACAGAACGTGCAGCGCAAACGAAACGAGTGAAAGTGCAAAATTAATACATAAATCTATTCCGACTGTCGTTTACCACAATTTCTTCCAGTCGCAGCCTCAGTCAGTGTCAGCTCCCCCTGCCCCAATAGCGCCCAGCATCGAGAATCGAACGTTTCCACCCCCAAACAGAAAAGTGCACGGCGCGTAAGTTGTCCAGACGTTAAAAATAGAATCGTAGCGCATAGTTGGGCAGAGAAATGAAATTAAATTTTATTATTAATCAATGGGTTATTAATTAAATTGAAGCATTTCAACTGGCAAGTCAACTAACTCAAACCCGTTCACAGCAACCGCGTCGTTGACATCAAGCCACACAAAGAGCACCAGCAAAGGCAGCAACATCAACAGCAAAGGCAGCACGATGGCTTTCGCCGGATTGAAGAAACAGATCAACAAAGCGAATCAGTATGTGACGGAGAAAATGGGCGGTGCGGAGGGCACCAAATTGGATTTGGACTTTATGGATATGGAACGTAAGACGGATGTGACCGTGGAGCTGGTTGAGGAGCTGCAGCTGAAGACCAAGGAGTTTCTGCAGCCAAATCCAACGGCACGGGCTAAGATGGCCGCCGTCAAGGGCATATCGAAGCTATCGGGACAGGCGAAATCGAATACTTATCCACAGCCCGAGGGTCTGCTGGCCGAGTGCATGTTGACTTATGGTAAGAAGCTCGGCGAGGACAACAGCGTGTTCGCGCAGGCGCTCGTCGAATTTGGCGAAGCGCTGAAACAAATGGCCGACGTCAAGTATTCGCTGGACGACAACATCAAGCAGAACTTTTTGGAGCCTCTGCATCATATGCAGACCAAAGACCTAAAGGAGGTCATGCACCATCGAAAGAAGCTGCAGGGCCGGCGTCTCGACTTTGACTGTAAGCGTCGTCGGCAGGCCAAAGATGATGAAATTCGTGGTGCTGAGGACAAGTTTGCCGAGTCACTGCAATTGGCCCAAGTGGGCATGTTCAATCTATTGGAGAACGATACTGAACATGTCTCACAACTCGTGACCTTCGCTGAAGCACTCTACGATTTTCACTCTCAATGCGCCGATGTGCTGCGTGGCCTGCAGGAAACGCTACAGGAGAAGCGCGCCGAGGCAGAGAGCCGGCCACGCAATGAGTTTGTGCCCAAGACGCTGCTCGATCTGAACTTGGACGGCGGTGGCGGCGGCCTCATTGATGACGGCACGCCGTCCCACATTAGCTCGAGCGCCTCGCCGTTGCCCTCGCCGATGCGCTCGCCCGCCAAGTCAATGGCCGTCACACCAAATCGCCAGCAGCAGCCCTGCTGCCAGGCCCTGTACGACTTTGATCCAGAGAATCCCGGCGAACTGGGCTTCAAGGAGAACGACATTATCACGCTACTCAATCGCGTCGACGATAACTGGTACGAAGGTGCCGTCAATGGCCGTACCGGCTACTTCCCTCAGTCATATGTCCAGGTGCAGGTTCCTCTTCCCAATGGCAATTAAAACCCCCATGTATTGAGAATATTTCAACTGAATGATTGTTGGTTTCGTCGTCGTCATGCGGCGTGCAGCTTGGCACATTGCTTAAATGCAAAAACATACATTACGTAGATGGTTAAATGCGGATTAATATGGTTAGAGTTACGGTTACGGCTTAGCTAGCACAGCACATTCACGTGGCCATACAAAATCAATTGAAACAGTAAATGCAAAAAAAAAAAAAAAAAAAACAAAAAAAAATACGATAGCAAACAAAATTTAATGCGAAATCTTACCAGTTGGCAAAACAATAATTACGAATTATTAATTATAATTAAATTATGTATGTACTACTAACTAAATTTACAATGTTACTAAATTAACATAGTACTTTCCATGCGTTTCCAATTCAAGAATGTCAGCAATCGCGTCTACTTTGAATTCGATTTCTGCAGATACGCAAATACACATACTGAATATGCAATATGTTTCAAAAAAAGAAAGAGAAAACATAATTTGGTAACATGTCAATCCAACATATTAATCAGCTAGATATCCGTATTACATACACTTACATAGATATGTTGAGATTTTTCTGCTTTCTCGTTCATTGTTCATTGTTGTAATTTCTAATTAATTTTTCATTGCGCTCTCTAGGCAATTTCTATATAGTATATACCAAATGCTACCTACCTAAATCATATACCTACAATTATTGTATACCCTTTACTCAGATATTTGTGCAAAAACAATACTCCCCACACTCTAATCCTTAAGGCGGCATATTAACTGAAGGGAAATCTGTCTTAATCGTTCGTTCGTTGTACAATTTTTCGATAAACAAAAAAACTATTCAAATTCAAGGATGTAACAAAACAAAATTTGTATCCTACTTTTTTGCTCCTTTTTATGTGTGTTGTTTTTCTTTTTGTTATTTATATACATAACTATTATATAAATCAAATATATATATATATACATATATATAGATATATATATTTATTAAGCATATTATCTACATGTATATTTATTATTATATATTTATTATAACTTATACCGAGCAGCAGCGTTAATACAAATAATAACAATAACTATATTTATAATAATAATAATAACAGCAAAGTAATGAACAACGTAACAGAATCCTCCTAAAAGCAAAACCAGCATCTAACTAGTTAAAATTTGAGAAAAATAATTACTGATATTAAAACGTTGATAATAACTGTTAAAATAAGCGGCAACTCAAAACCAGTCAAGTCAGTCGAAGCATAGCAAAAACGAATTACTAACCAAAAGCAAAAAAGAGTTTACTAACAATAAATGCTTAGAAGAATATATAATATAAATGTATCCAAAAGCAGAAGAGTCAAGCATCTAGATTGTTGAATACCAAGCGATATGCATGCATACACGAATGTATATAGGCAAACGTATACACAATTATATATATTTACTGATAATAAATTAGTTAATGAGCAAACAAAATTTAAATTTACAAAAGCGAAAATAAAACTCGCGACATTTGCCGAACATTTCCAGGCGGCGGCCCCCAATATAGACAATTTGGCTCAGACCGCGACGGCGAATGTTTTATTGATGCATTCATGATGGAAAGAGTAAAACAATAATAATTGTAATTGTGCATTTGTGTGGTGGAATAAATAAATATATATATATAATAATATATACATACCTACATACAAATAATACAACAAATTATATATAATAATTACGCTAAAAACTGAAGCCCTAATTTATGCAAAAACAAAAATTGAATACATTTAATTTTCAATGTGTCTTTCGTTCAAAATCATAAAAAAAAAAAACAAAAAAAAACAGAGAAAAACTCAATTTGCATTTTGTTATTTGCATGTTTACCCCAAAGCAAGCTGCCCTCAATCCCCCGCCCCTTTTCCCCTTAGTCATCCGCTTTGGCCTTGGCCCAGGCCCAGTTCCGAGGTCTTTATGTGCATGTTGCGTAACATTGACTCGGATGCTGCACGGGAACGGGACGACGACGGCGCCAACTAACTAAGAAGCAAGGCATTGAAATTTTCGATTTTCCACAAACACAATGGGTCAGACATTGCGCCCAAATCCGAGCTACCCCCCAGTCGGAATGGCATTGAAACGTGACGCAACACCCCCTGCGCACAACATCATCCGTTGAGGTCATGCCACCATAGCCGGGGAAACCTTTTATGTGTGGGCAAATTCATCTTGAATGGGATGCGAACTTGAATGTTGACTGGCCCAAAGATAGAACCATTTCTAAATATAGTTGCGAAATTGAGATTGCGAAAGCTTATCATTTTGTAAGTTTCTCTATTATGAAATAGGCAAAAGAAATTATATGTGTATTAAATTTGTGAAACTGTGTAATTTAATTATGTTTAAAGACGCATTTTATAGAGATTTAACTTAAAAAAGAAGCAGAAACTTTTAAAACTTTTGCTTTTTTAATGCTACTTTAGGATTCTGCTTAAAATATTTTTCAGCAATTAATCTCTGATGTTCAAAATTATCATCATTAAAGTTTTTATAGATCCTTAGTTCCAGGTTATATATGTAGGAAATGAATGAATCGGATAACTATATCATAAGCTGCTTTAGGAACATTCGCTCAAAAATTATGTTCCTTTATGAAATCAAAATATCTTGACCAAGTTCTTTATTTATTATTTTTAATATTTTTCTTAAACTGAATCCTATCAATATCGGAGCACTACGTCTTGAAGCTACCATAAAATGATATTTTTTTGGTTTTTTCAAGAGATCCTAAACAAACTTCTAAGTTCTTCTAGTTCTACCATGAGTAAATGCTTTCAATATCGAAAGGATCTTCCTATATATCCAATAGCTCTTTTAGGCAAATCGTTCAAACATATCTTTTCATGGAAACATTGTTTATCAAGTTATCTTCAGTAAACTTTACAATATCAAGCTACAAAATTCTTCTAATATATCTGCAAAATATTTAATCTTCGACATGTTGAAGAATGACTTTGTTTTATTTATTAATAAATGCAGAATAATCATTTTTTAAGTTTTTCCAACGTAAAAATATATAATTCTTAGAATTTTTTTAGATACATATCTATCTTGGTTTCAGAAGATTCTAATGTCGTCCTAACAACAGTTTATAATATTCCTGTTTTTACCGAATTCATTTGATATAAGTTTAGGGTTCTCTTGAGATTGCAAAAAAATGTACCTGCCAATAATATCAGAATTATCAGAACAATATAGCTTGTCATTGGCCCCGTCGATCCAGTCCGCGAATGACTAATAAATGTAAAACAATTTGATATTTGATATAGGCATGTGGCGTTGGGCTTATCAGCACCAAAAGTTTATTTTTAGTTCAAATGAGATAAGACAAAATACAAAAGTGAGCATGTACTTGGAACATTCATAAAATACTTGATCGTATCGAATACCCCTAATCTCAGCTAGACTACAAGATATTCCTCGTACTGCGTGAGCAGCTTACGTTGGGGCCTTTGCAGCGCCTCGTGACCGAGGGTCAAGCACACGGGGTCCTGCTTGAAAACGCCCTGATCCTGCAGCACAGCGTGCGGGGCACAGCGCCAGGGATCCTCGGTCTCCGCCTGCCACTTGAAGAGCTTCTGGCGCAACTGCTTCAAGGTGGCGTTATACTTGGGCTTGTCCACCAGATTGATGCGCTCCAAGGTGTCCGCCTTGATGTCGTACAGCTCCCATTCGGGCCGCTGGTAATACTGCCGGAGCGTGCGGTACCAGGGCAACGGCTGCTTTCGGATGGTTGCATTGAGTATCTGCTGGAATGTGGGCGATGTGTAGAAATCCTGATCGATCGGGAAATCGGCCCAGTAGTTGAGATTGTGGATGAGCTTGTAGCGTCGGTTGCGCACCATGCGCATGGGATAGGCCATGGTCACCTCGTGGTAGCTCTGACTGCCGAAGATCGCGTCGCTCTCCACTGGCTCCGGTTCCTTGTGCAGCACGGGCAACAGCGACTGGCCGCTGAAGCGTGTCCCATTTGGCGGCGGCAGCTGGAAGGCATCCAAGACACTGGGATATATGTCCAGGAGACTGGCCATGGCGGCGCTTGTCTCACGACGTCGAGCGTCCGGCTGCGGCGAGCTGAGAATCAGCGGCGCGCGAATGCCATGCTCGTAAAGATTAGTGCGTCCGCCCGGGAAAGGTGGCCCATTATCCGAGGTGTAGATTACAAGAGTTTCCTCCGCCAATCCCGCTGCCTGCAGCTCGTGCAGCAACAATCCCACGCCCTGATCCAAACGCGAGATGGTCATGTACTGCGCGGCCAGCTCCTGTCGCACCACATCCGTGTCGGGCAGCCAGGCGGGCACCTCCAAATTGCGCCAGTCATAGTAGATGGGCTTCCAGTCGGGTATCGTGCCCATGCCCTCCTCCCCGCTGCCCCAGCGCTCGCAGAACTCGCCGTACTGCGGCGTAATGTGTCCACAGCGATGCGGATCATGGAAGCCGATCAACAAAAAGAAGGGTCTCGCTTCGCTCTTGGCCCGTGCCAGAAACTTTCGCGCATATTCCTTGATTTTGGTTATGTTGCGTCCGATCTGGTTGATCGAATGCTGCTCCTCCGTCTGCTCAAAGTCAAAGCGAAAGTTGGAGCCGGCGCCCACATGCTTCTTGCCAATAATGCCGCTCAAGATGCGTCCCTCGCTCTGAGCCCGCAGCACATTCGGCAACGAACTCACCTCGGGCAGCACATTAAAGTTGTGCACGCCCTGATGCAGCCCGTACATGCCGCTGGCATGGCTCGCCTGCCCGGTGAGCAGCTGGGCGCGACTCGGACTGCAGCTGCTCACCGAGCTAAACGCGTTGTTGAACAGCAATCCGTTGCGTGCCAACGCATCCAAATTCGGCGTCTGGCAGTACTTGTTCAGATAGGCGCCCATCTCGAAGCCGGCGTCGTCGGCGACGAGAAGCAGCACATTTTGTGGCACATTTGTGGAACAATAGCCGCCGCCCAGGAGCACACATCCCAGCACGATTCCAAGTAAATTCCGCAATTGCATATTTCGAGTAATTTGCATAGAAACAGAGCCCAGTCTAGTCAATCCGTCGACTCACTCTGCCTGAGTCCAACTGATCCGCAGACATTTCAAGTATCTGCAGCTCGAGACGTACTCACAATTTCTCTGCGCTCTCATTCAATTCCAGTTCCAGTTCCAATTCCAGTTTCAATCTCTTTTTACCAGCAACAGCTCAGCGTGTGCTCTCCTCTCTTGCACAATAGCCATGCCACACACAAACACACACATAGATACATCACACATCAATTTAGATACAGATACAAACATATGTATCTACGTAAATTCGTTTTTGTATAATTGTACATTCACTTTGACCGGCTTTTATTTGGGCCGACTTTTTCACATAACTGAAGGGAACTCTAACTCTATGACATGCCCTTCTGTGAGACCATAAAAATAAGATCTATAATTTTTACTATATTTTCCAATCCATTTTTATACCCAGTACACATTGAAAGTGGGTAGAATAATTACAGGAGGAAGTTGTTCGACCCGATCTTTTTGATCAGATCGATAAACTGTGTCTCTCCAGCAAAGTCCGGAAACTACAAGTCTCGAAATATTAAATAAATATTCTCATATAGTTTATAATTTTCGTTCCATACCTTCTCCTCTTGCCAACACACATAAACCCCATGCAACTATTTATATTATATAATTTACATATTATCGCTAGATAGATTGTAAATAAAAATGGAAATTGAAAAATGAAGGTATTTTTCTGTTTTCATAATTTCGATACAAATCGATTTGGAGACATGCTTTTTTAATCATATATCCAAAATTATTAGAGCCAAATATTTGTTATGTCTTCAAGTTTCTGGAAACTCGCTCGTTATATTGTTCCTAACCCAACCATATAATATAGCAGTCTGATCCGACCTGTTTCTGCAACCTAGGCATAGTTTCAAGACGATAGCATAAATACTGAGATGTTACCAAGTTGTCTTCGCATAACTTCTCAAAATAAAAATAATAAAGACGAGCGCAGCCCTGGAAATAATGCCCACTCGGTAGTAAAAGTTCTTCACTTGAATGTACGTGCGACAAGATAAGACAAGCTTGATGTTAATAACCCCATACCTGTTTTTTGCCAAACAACTTTTTAACGATAAAAATTTATATGGCTGCAAGTTAAAACATATGTATTGTTTTTTTTTTCAACTGATAATAAATCAAATTTAATAAGTTAATTACCTATCTTAATCATAATGATAAGGAAAGGTATGGCAATTGGTAAAATATACATCAATGCAAAAATTCTGTGTGATTTATTATATATTATATTAAGTTAAGTGGTAAGTTTCTTGCTTCTGATTTTTTGATATCACTTTTTCAGTCATTTCAATCCTGTGGAAAATTCAAATTTTTTCGCTCTGAATGTTAATTTAACATAATTTAGGAATTAACATATGTAATTTACATATCTACATACATATGTGTGTATTGTTAATCAAGCCGCCCGTTAACAGACGTCAACCACGGCGAATTCGGCAACGTTGGCGATCACACATTGCCAATACACGGACAACACTATGGCCATTCCTCTCGCACTTACAGCAGCCAGGCAAAGGCCCCGCTTGAGTGGAAAAATGCCAGACATGAATCTACGGCATCATTGCCAGGCCCCGCTCAGTGTACTACGAAGCGGGGCCTGTCAAGATGCTAAACAGGACACAACAATCTGTAATTTAAGATCCTATTATTACACAGTAAGAATAATTGTGGCACAGTGAACAATAGAAGAGTACATTTCAAAGGACATTTAAGGACTCCCTAAAAACATCTCCAAATCATCAAAAAAGGTTTGATTTTCGAACCGATTTTGATAAAAATCGTGATGTAACCCCTTGCCATTTTGGTCGATTTGGGTCAAAATTTAGATTTTCTATTTTTTGATGCCAGTCGATAGTACTGATCCTTACGAGTCCAACATGGTATAAAATTTGAAAATCGGACACTATTTGGCCGAGATATTCAAAAAAATCATCAAAAAAGGTTTGATTTTTATCAAAATCGTGATGTAACCCCTTGCCATTTTGGTCGATTTGGGTCAAAATTTAGATTTTCTATTTTTTGATGCCAGTCGATAGTACTGATCCTTACGAGTCCAACATGGTATAAAATTTGAAAATCGGACACTATTTGGCCGAGATATTCAAAAAAATCATCAAAAAAGGTTTGATTTTTATCAAAATCGTGATGTAACCCCTTGCCATTTTGGTCGATTTGGGTCAAAATTTAGATTTTCTATTTTTTGATGCCAGTCGATAGTACTGATCCTTACGAGTCCAACATGGTATAAAATTTGAAAATCGGACACTATTTGGCCGAGATATTCAAAAAAATCATCAAAAAAGGTTTGATTTTCGAACCGGACCCGATTTTGATAAAAATGGTGATGTAACCCCTTGCCATTTTGGTCGATTTGGGTCAAAATTTAGATTTTCTATTTTTTGATGCCAGTCGATAGTACTGATCCTTACGAGTCCAAAATTGGAGTTATGTCGTTTTCAAACGTCATATCTTCCGCGGATATATGTCGTTTTTAGAGCGCGGAGATATATCGTTTTTAGAGCGGCGGAGTTATGTCGCTTCAAAACGACATAATCTCGCCATGATCAGCGGCGGTGTTATGTCGTTTTCAAACGTCATAATTTCGCCAGAAAGCATACAAATTCAAAGAGGTATAATATTTGAAAATCAGACTTTATTTGCCCGAGATATTCAAAAAAAATCATCAAAAAAGGTTTGATTTTCGAACCGAACCCGATTTTGATAAAAATCGTGATGTAACCCCTTGCCATTTTGGTCGATTTGGGTCAAAATTTAGATTTTCTATTTTTTGATGCCAGTCGATAGTACTGATCCTTACGAGTCCAAAATGGTATAAAATTTGAAAATCGGACACTATTTGGCCGAGATATTCAAAAAAATCATCAAAAAAGGTTTGATTTTCGAACCGGACCCGATTTTGATAAAAATCGTGATGTAACCCCTTGCCATTTTGGTCGATTTGGGTCAAAATTTATATTTTCTATTTTTTGATGCCAGTCGATAGTACTGATCCTTACGAGTCCAAAATTGGAGTTATGTCGTTTTCAAACGTCATATCTTCCGCGGATATATGTCGTTTTTAGAGCGCGGAGATGTATCGTTTTTAGAGCGGCGGAGTTATGTCGCTTCAAAACGACATAATCTCGCCATGATCAGCGGCGGAGTTATGTCGTTTTTAAACGTCATAATTTCGCCAGAAAGCATACAAATTCAAAAAGGTATAATATTTGAAAATCAGACTTTATTTGCCCGAGATATTCAAAAAAAATCATCAAAAAAGGTTTGATTTTCGAACCGAACCCGATTTTGATAAAAATCGTGATGTAACCCCTTGCCATTTTGGTCGATTTGGGTCAAAATTTAGATTTTCTATTTTTTGATGCCAGTCGATAGTACTGATCCTTACGAGTCCAAAATGGTATAAAATTTGAAAATCGGACACTATTTGGCCGAGATATTAAAAAAAAATCATCAATAAAGGTTGTATTTTCAAACCGAACCCGATTTTGATAAAAATCGTGATGTAACCCCTTGCCATTTTGGTCGATTTGGGTCAAAATTTATATTTTCTATTTTTTGATGCCAGTCGATAGTACTGATCCTTACGAGTCCAAAATGGTATCAAATTTGAAAATCGGACACTATTTGGCCGAGATATTCAAAAAAATCATCAATAAAGGTTGTATTTTCAAACCGAACCCGATTTTGATAAAAATCGTGATGTAACCCCTTGCCATTTTGGTCGATTTGGGTCAAAATTTATATTTTCTATTTTTTGATGCCAGTCGATAGTACTGATCCTTACGAGTCCAAAATTGGAGTTATGTCGTTTTCAAACGTCATATCTTCCGCGGATATATGTCGTTTTTAGAGCGCGGAGATATATCGTTTTTAGAGCGGCGGAGTTATGTCGCTTCAAAACGACATAATCTCGCCATGATCAGCGGCGGAGTTATGTCGTTTTCAAACGTCATACTTTCGCCAGAAAGCATACAAATTCAAAAAGGTATAATATTTGAAAATCAGACTTTATTTGCCCGAGATATTCAAAAAAAATCATCAAAAAAGGTTTGATTTTCGAACCGAACCCGATTTTGATAAAAATCGTGATGTAACCCCTTGCCATTTTGGTCGATTTGGGTCAAAATTTAGATTTTCTATTTTTTGATGCCAGTCGATAGTACTGATCCTTACGAGTCCAAAATGGTATAAAATTTGAAAATCGGACACTATTTGGCCGAGATATTCAAATCATCAAAAAAGGTTTGATTTTCATACCGAACCCGATTTTGATAAAAATCGTGATGTAACCCCTTGCCATTTTGGTCGATTTGGGTCAAAATTTAGATTTTCTATTTTTTGATGCCAGTCGATAGTACTGATCCTTACGAGTCCAACATGGTATAAAATTTGAAAATCGGACACTATTTGGCCGAGATATTCCAAAAAAAATCATCAAAAAAGGTTGGATTTTCGAACCGGACCCGATTTTGATAAAAATCGTGATGTAACCCCTTGCCATTTTGGTCGATTTGGGTCAAAATTTAGATTTTTTTTTCGATGCCAGTCGATAGTACTGATCCTTACGAGTCCAAAATTGGAGTTATGTTTTTCGTTTTCAAACGTCATATCTTCCGCGGATATATGTCGTTTTTAGAGCGCGGAGATATATCGTTTTTAGAGCGGCGGAGTTATGTCGCTTCAAAACGACATAATCTCGCCATGATCAGCGGCGGAGTTATGTCGTTTTCAAACGTCAAAATTTCGCCAGAAAGCATACAAATTCAAAAAGGTATAATATTTGAAAATCAGACTTTATTTGCCCGAGATATTCAAAAAAAATCATCAAAAAAGGTTTGATTTTCGAACCGAACCCGATTTTGATAAAAATCGTGATGTAACCCCTTGCCATTTTGGTCGATTTG